AATCTTACAAGGTTGTTCTAAAGATAAAATGGTGTCATATCTTACAATGTTGTTTTCAAAAACAAAGTGGCTACTCATCTTAAATGTTAGAACTTCAAATTAAACTAATTCTGATAGTGAGTAGAAAAAAGGTTAAACTTGTTGTGTAATTGAGCTGTAATACATCTTTGAAAAGAAATTGGCCCTTTATTGGTAAAAGTAAAGCTGCCAGATTAGTTTTGTCTAAACTAAAAACTCATAAAGTACATATATATTTTACAACAGATTAACTACATTAAGACATCAAATTTTACAAAATATTAATTACATATGAACATTAAATTACCTGTTATTGCCATCCTACTTTACTCACCTCTCGGTTGAGGGTAAAATAGCTTTGCTATAAGCATGTAATTTAAAAATTGTAGTTAATGTTTGATTTTTTTCAATGTTTGGCAAATTTTAGATTTGGGAGTTCTATTTTCTTTGAGCAGATTAATTAGCAGTCAAACTTCTTGGAAGAAATTGGCATGATTGTAAATATTTTTGATTCTGAGTATGAATATATTAAGTATTACTTTTTTGGAGATAATAGAATGCCAATCAATGAGTTTGATGCTATTGAAGTTTCTCTTCTTTTATCACAGAATTTTAGTTTTTTGTATCCAAGTATTTGTAAATCTAAGTTATATTTTCTTGTTGATGATTTGTGTTGTTGAGGCAAGGTGGATAGATAATAGCGTTTTTGATTTTCTCAAAATTACCAATTGCTAAGTTGTCATTGACATGTATGTAAATATTTGAAAAATAGATCCATTAGTCTTTATTAACCTCTTTTTTTAAATTGAAAATCTTTAGTAAAGATGTAATAAGTACATAATGCTGAAGATGAGTAAAAGCTCATAGGGATCCCATTAACCTGTTTGTAAACAGTATTATTAAATTTGATGTAACTGTGAAACAACAACTTTTAAGGTAAATGAACCAATTTTCTTGTGATATTACCATACAAATTTGGAAATACCATTGGTAGTGTTAAGAGATTATCAAAAATTGTATGTAAAGTTAATGTATTGTACAAATTTTTGATGTCATAGCAATTAACATTTTTAGGTTCTAAATCTTAATCAATTAATATTTTTAATTTATTGAATGGCTATGGTTATTGTTAATCTATTTGTAAATGCATTCCAGATAAGCAGGAAAAGTAATGATGTTGAGAATTAATTTCGGCTTCTTAGCAAACTTGTAGTAATCTATTTCTTTTAGGGCTTAGTGCCTTTGGCAATGAATCTGAATTTTGACAGGGTCTTGTGAAATCTAGTTAGTGCATAAAGTTTAGAAAACCTGTTGTTGTATGTTGAAGCAGTAATTTTAAGTCTGAAATGTAAAGCTCTGATTTTGGTTTTGAAGATGAGAAAACTTGCATTGTTTTTTGCATTAGTACTTTGGAGTTTTTTTTATTATAATGTTGTAATAAAATGCTTTTCAAATGATACTGAAGTTGTTACTTGCCTAGTGTATTTTGGTGATTGTGAATTTTTGATGCAGTAGATTAATTTTATTTCCCAGTTCCTTTCTGTTATGGAAGTATTGAAGCTTGTTAACAGAAATGTTAAGTTTAAAATTATTAAAAACAGCAGCATCTTTACTTTCTAAGAATACCATTGTGGGCATATTAGTTTTGTAGCTTGTACACTGCTGGCCATTAAAATTGCAACACCGTGAAGGAAAGCAAATACAAAAAAGATATTTATTGCGTGTAAGCAGCATGGCATGAAAACAAAATGATTGAATTTGTAAGCATTTTGGAGGTTTACAAGGGTGGAAAATTAGTAAAAACAGCTGCCATCCCTGGTAGCTGAAATGGCCTTCCCCATTAGGTATAGAGTCAAACTGGGCTTTTCCATGCTGCTTCAAGTCTATGCCACACTTCATCAACCATATTACCTGAAATCCCTGTTGCCTCTGAAAATATAAACATTTAGTTTATAGGTACCGGAAACCGCAAGATGGAGTACAAAATATCGAAGAAAAAATACTTACTGGATAATGAAGTCATAATTACCAAATAATAATGAGTCATAACGCAAAAATCAAATTATTGACATCATGATAAAAGTTTTTTTCTCTCCAATCTGCATCGATGTAAAAAAGCAGACGATTAACTCAATTCTTCTTTCAAGTTCTTGCTTCACGTTGTACTAACTTACTAAGTCTTAATATACAGAACTCCAAAAAGAACTCCTCTCTTGTTTTTTTTGTTTTGATATTTTTAGCAAATAAGTGAGATGTGTTTTATAATTTTTTTCTATTTTAATACAATCAAATACCGAAAATCCGCCGACCTGAAATCCGCGTTGCCTCTGAAAATATAAACATTTAGTTTATAGGTTCCGGAAACTGCAACGTGGAGTACGAAATATCGAAGAAAAAATACGTACTCGATAATGACGTCATAATTACCGAATAATAATGAGTCATAACAGAAATACCAAATTATTGACATCATGATAAAAGTTTTTTTCCCTCCAAAAGCAGACGATTAACTCAATTCTTCTTTCAAGTTCACACTTCACGTTGTACTTTTTAGTTTTGTTATTTCACAAGATTGTTTAGTGATGTCGTTTTTTTTTAATCCGGATATTTTGTGGACAAATTAAGAACATTTTAAATTTCAGCGCTTTTACAACGCAATGACAGATAACGCAGCGCAACGACAGATAAGAAGCACACTCGTGATTTTACTGTTTGCAATGTTGAAAAACGTAAACACGTTGCATTGACGATAATGAAAAAAGTGGAAATTCTGCTAAAGTTGGAGGCAGGTGCTACTGCTCAGTTTATAGCAGAATCGTATGGAATTGCCACACGGACTGCGTATGATATACGGAACAATAAAGAAAAGCTGTTTAAATTTTATAGCAACAGTGATTCTAACACCGGAATCCGAAACTGGAAATCTTTACATGAGGCGAAATCGGCAAACCTCGATGCTGTCTTGTACGAGTGGTTCGGCAGCGGCGGAGTGATGGGGTACCTATTTCAGGACTCTGAGAGGAAAAGGGAAGCAGATTCATGCTGATTTAAAAATAGAGGAGCCTAACGTAAATGAACAATATAATATAATCAGTTTATATATGTAATAATAATTTAATGCATATAATTAATTATTGTATTAATGCATATAATAATTTATTTAAATGTATCTAATACGCCTTATTTATTTTGCACTTTTAGTATGAATATTATCTTTTCTGTCCTGAAATCCGCACAACCTCTCTTCCCAAGCGTTGCGGATTTCTGGACTTACACTGTAGTTGCAAAAAGTACTGCCATTTAAAAATCCGCACAACCTCTCGTCCCAAGCATTGCGGATTTCTGGACTTACACTGTAGTTGCGAAAATGTACTGCCATTTATCATATTACTTGCAAGAGTTAATCAGAGCATGCATATCAGTTTGCATTAAAGCTGGTCTTCAAAAACCGACTGTTAATGGCAATCAGTGAGCATTTTCAGCTGTCAGTTATGGACATGCTAAGACTGATGCTATGAATTCTCAGATAATGAAGGCGATGTTGTCATCTTATCAACCATTATTCCACATGCACTTATGCTCCATATACACTTCACTGGTTCTGCACTGAAGAATTATATGATACCATGTGTAGAACAACTGAATACTGAAATGTAATTTTATGGTACATTTTTGTTCTGTTTCAAAAGATGAGCATGTTTGAACTTGAAGATGCTGTGGGTAAAAAAGCAATTTATTTTGTGATTTAAGAGCACTGTGTCTTCACCTTATAGGTGTTCTGTTTGTGTTAGCAGCCAAAGTCCTCATATGTGTAATACTTGCAGTTGCATTTTCCTGCTATATTAAAAATATTCTTTATCCCTTTCTGGTGCCCTCTCTAAATGTGTTCATCTAATAATATTTTAACTCAATAATGTATGGCCACATGATGCTAACTTCACTGAACAGGAATATTTTATATTTATTCTGTTTGCTTTAATTGAAATTGCTAATGCTTTGTATCGTAAGGAATACGTAGGATTTAATTCATTGATTTATTTGGAACTGTCAAACATTCTGAAATGCAACTGAGTTATAGGAACAGATAAGCATTGCACAATGTAAAAACAACAGAAGTTAACTTACAGAGCTGTTGTTCTCTCCAGTGTCATGTAACACATTGTGTTGTTCATCATTTATACTGCATGTGGTTATATTGCATTTACATCCGCATGCTAACTTCTTTTATTTATAATCTCAGAGCATAATCTTTTTCGTTTGTTAGGTATGTGTTAATTCCAGTTTTCTAAGTTGAAATTTCTGAACTTAGTAGTATGTATTTCATTATTTTATGCCTTACCGTATTTGACGGCATAGGCCACACACATGTAGATGTAGAAAATGTTATGTGTGTCTAGATCTTTATCCGGGCTAAACATAGCATTCAGTATTGAAAGTGAACCTGTGTCCTTCACGTATAAGATGCAGGTAACTTTTTTGAGACCAAATTTAGGGGAAAAAGTACGTCTTATATGCCGTCAAATACGGTAATTAATTCTTTATAAATTTGAAAGTAATTAACATTTCATCGTTAAATTTTATTTTACTGTATAAATATCTAAAATAAAAACTGTAATTTGATAATTTCTGTAGAAAGTGTACATATTTATTATTAGTTAATTTTATCTGAAATTTTATTCAATAAATAAAGGAAAAGTGTTTTGTTCTTAGTTGAGTAATTAATAAAATTGAATTTTAAAGATGAGGTTTTCTGACTAGTCTGGTAAGTCATTTGAGGTATTTTGGATTTATTTTAAGCCCGTAAATTTGTTGTGTGATATTTATGGATTTATGTCCTGCTGAATTTTTTTTGTTTATAAAAAATGAGCTAGTTAATATACATGTTATATTTTAGAGTAAGTATGATATTGTCTTGATGTGTTATATCTTTATTTAATTGTGAAAATTTGTGATATGATATAATCTAACCTTTGATTGATTTAAAAAAAACAGAATGTTTTATCTTTATGTATTTTACCTTAGGCAGGTAGACAAATCAGGTCAGGTCGGCGAAGATTAGAGAAAATGGTAAGTTAATATGTGTACTATTTTTGTGTTGAATTTATATTTTATAAATAACAAATAAGTTTCTAATAAAAATATGTCTAAATTGGAAGAAAATAGTTTAAAATTTAATAAATTTGAATATTTTCCCCTCCAGGTACAACCTACTGTCATTGACAATGAACAGTCGTTATGCATGAAAGCCACATTTTCAAAGGAGTATGTATTTTTATTATTCTCTGTGAATTATAATAAAATGTGTTTGAAAATTATTCCTTAATCATTTATATTATCTGTTCTGTACACTGATGTTTTCAGTTTTGACAAAATTATTGTAGTTTTTTTAAAGTAAATGATAAAAGGGAGGCATTTGAAGTAGAATTTCTATTGTTTTTGAAATTTCATAAACTATTATCATGTTTTGTGTTACTGTAGGATACAGTGACAGTTTTATGAGATAATGAACCACCTAGGTATAATTGTCAAGAGATCCAATTAAAAAACTGGTAGTGTTTCTGAGACTGAAAATTTTAGACATGCGGTATAACTAAGAATGTTAATGAATTTTGGCCATGAATTGAAATTGTGAGCTAATGATTATATGTATTTTGAATTGATGATAATAGGTATGTTTTGTATATTTTTCCCCTTATGCAGGATTATCTGAAGACTACTACACTGTTAAAAAACTAAATTCAATCTATAAACTTAAATGTGATTTCTCAACGTTTTTCAATAACTGCCCATTTTTCAAAGCTATTTTTTTACTGAGTGCTCCCCAGCATAAACTATTTATATCATCAAAATTTCAGTGCAGAAGTTGTGAATACAGTTTTTAATCTTGAAAGTTAGACTGAAAATGAAGTATGAGCTTACTAAAATCTTAAATTTTCAAGCTGCTCATTAAAAATTTTTATTAAACCAAAGCAAGAAAGAACTACATGGAATCAAAAAATCAACATGGACAAAGTACTCATTAATGAGAATTCTTTGCTTGATATGTTAGCGGTTTGTGCATATATACATATATATTTTATTAATACTAATTTAAACTCCTTGTGCTCAATAAGTTTTATTCAGATTCACATATTTTTAAGCCTTTTTCTCTTTGAAGGGGGGAATATGTAAGAAACATATGTAAATCCCAGAATTTTAATTTAAACTAGCAGTAATCCTTAATTTTCCTTCTCTAGTCTATAAACAGTAATAACTTTTCTCTAGATCTGTCTGTGTCACATGGCTTGCATAATGCTGATGACGTATGTAATTTGGAACCTGAACTCAAAATTTTTGAGACCTGAAACCTTTCTAATAATAAGCAAATAAAACCAAACCTTCTCTTAGTGAGCATTCATATTGGATTTAATTGTATACTTTTGCTTCTGCCTCTGTTGCCGCTAGGACACTACTTCGCCCTCTTAGCCTCTGCCAGCTATTGCCCATTGTTCAAAAAATATAATCTGTATAAAATTGTGGGATGCATAGCTCACCCACAGTGATGACGTGAAATGAAAGAGAATATTTGTCCTCAGAATTCATTTTCCAGGAACAAAATTGTATGGGGGATTTATGGCTATTTTCTGTCTTTGAGTGTCATCTTTCTAACTATGCAGTAAAGCCTTTGCAAGTTTTAATGCAGAGAACCATTGCCAGTCTGTTGCAGCTCTCTCCAAGTCATGTAATTATATATATATATATATACACATACACCAAAGAGCCATTACATTATGACTACCCTGGTTTTAACATGTAAGACCAACTTTGGCCCTCAAAACTGCCAGTACCCAGCATGGCACTGACTCCACAAGGTGCTGATACTTAGTCTGATGTATCTGAAACCAAGCACTCACCAACTAGTTTTGCAATTCCCACACATTGTGAGGGGGTAGCACGAATTTGGTTCTCCAGGTGGAACCACAGATCCTCTTTTGGATTAATGTCAGGTGAACTCGAAGGTTAAGACCTGACTTAAAAGTCACTGGAATGTTCCTCAAACCACTCCTTGACCAGGGCTTAATTTGTAAAATTGGAAGTGCCAGAGCCCTCTGGGAAGGCTGCCAGGAAGGAGGAAAAAAATTTTTAATTTAAAAAAAAAAAATCTGAAAGGGGCAAACGTCAACATCTGACGTCCAAAGGGGCATTTTTTAAACGTTTTGTTTGTTACCTTTATTTATTAAATATCGCGTTCTTCGCACTTAAACCATAAAATTAACTTCGATAGCAATGTCGCAAAATAATTTTCAAATGAGCCTATCTTTGGAATTTATGATACACATTTCCACACGCTGGAGATAAAAAGGTTCCCCCCCCCCGTAGATTGTTGCCATTGCTCGCTTTCAAATCGTTGAGTTTGTTTCACAAAAATTCGTTAAAGTTTTACAAAATATGAAATCGATGATAAAACAAATTTCAAATTTGGCCTTCCACATGCCCATATTCGCAGTAGAATTCCGTCATTCAAAATTCGATGGCTCTATGTATCATTGTTTTATCACAATGCAAGAAATATGCATACATTTATGCAGATTTTTTCATTTTTAATTTCTTCAAATATAATGCAGGACTCATAACATTTGGTGACAACAGTTTGAAAAGTGAAATGGATATTTATAGTGATTCAGTGCAAAATCACAAAATGAAAACAATAGTCCTTCAGAGACGAAGCCCCTTTGGACTAATAAAAAAATAAGTGATAATTAAAATTAGTTAAATTTAAATTAAAATCATTAAAATTAATAAATATGTTAAAAAGTTAATAAAAATAAAATATCAATCTTATTTGGGGGTTAAAATAAATTATCAACCTCATTATTGCAGCTGATTTAGACTCTAAATAATAGAGTACAACATATTTTCATAGAGTACAACATACAATTTCAGTGGAGGGGTGGAAACTTCTTTTTCCAGCATGCCAGTGGGAAAAAGTAAAACGATTAAAGCATTACTAATTAAAATAGAGAGAATGCTCGAAACAATACGTGAGTATGGAAAGAAATGTTAATGGAGAATTGTAGTTGCAAAAACAAGTTCGTATGTCAGTCCAAACTAAAACTGTCTCATACAGGTGACTTGCAACATAGACAGCTACTGGGATTATTTTCTATTACATCCTCTGCTTCCTGTAAAATGGGTGAGAAATATTTTTTTAATCCCTGTGGACTGTAAGTAATACTTGTAATTAAATTTTCGTTATGTGTCTAACTGAACCATGTTATTAAGTTTTAAATAATTATTTCTCTTGCATTATTTTCATTTTAAGGAAATCACATATGTTTCTAATGACAAATTTATAAATAAAAACAATATTATGCTAATTTTGTTTTTTCCATTCTCACATTTTCTTACCACCACTCAAATTCTGAATATTATTATACATGTGATATTTATGTATTTAAGGACCCTTTATGAGCTAAATATGTACATTTATCTATTTTAGTCTCTATTTTCGTTAACTTGCATTCATCAAGATGACATTTGTATTATTAATGAGAGTAAGAAAACAAAATATATTAAATTATAAGCTAATATATAACAAGTGGCAAAAAAATCTTATAACCATATAAAGCTAGTCATCGTACTTAAAGGGTTAATAGACTCCCAACTAATACATGAACACTTTTGGCTGCTCTAATGAAGATCTTGCAAGTCTCGCAGCCGTCGCAGATAAAATACAGAGTTACCCATGCCCTCTGCCCGAAACAATATTAGTACATCAGATCCCAGTACATCAAATTCATTGAAACAAAAAATAGTTGACTTGTCTAAACAGGTTAATGAACTAATTGGTTGAGAGACATTATAATTATTCTCAGAGTCACAACTGGAAACCTTGCAGACACATCCTGCCATAAGAAGCATTACTGTTTCTAACATAACAAATTCGGGAATGAAGCAAGAAAATGTAACTCCCCTTGTATATATAGACAGCCGGAAAACTAGAAAAGCATTTACCTGCTGGCTATGTTTGACATCGCTTAATTACCTCATCTTCCTCGATGACCCCAAATCCAAGTTGCAATTCATTGTAGATGCTGCTGCCGACATTTCAGTCCATTCTAAGTGATATGCATCTCACTCTGTAAAGTCAGATAAAAGTTTTTTGTATGTTGCAAATGGTAGACTAATTTCTACATTTGGTAACAAGTGCCTCACCCTCGATTTTTGGTTCAGACAGACAACTTTTCACTTGGAATTTCATAGTTGCTAATTGATGCATGGGATTATTCTGTAGTTGACAAAAAGGCCCAGTTTTTGACGCTCTCATGGTCATTTCCCCAATAACCTTTTTTCGTACCATTTCTCATTATGACCAAATATTATCTAAATTAGCTATCGTTCTTCAGGATTCCAAATTCTCTCAATTATCATTTTATTGAGACTAAAGGACTAAGCTTTCACATATGTCCACCGATATGTTGCAAGTGCTGCAACAAGAATGTGCATTTCTCATGTCTCAGGATGTTACTCATCCAAGAGCCCATGGTAAGCCTTCTGCATATTCTCAAAAAGGCAAATGGTGAGTGGCACCCCTTTAATGATTATCATTGCCTCAACACGTTTATTGTGCCTGACCACTACCCAGTGCCTCACGTTCAAGATTATAAAATTTTTATAGAAAATACATCTTTTTGACTCTCAAACTTGCTCGCATGTATCATCAGATTCTAGTACATCTTGATGATATTGAGAAAACGGCAATAACTGTCCCTTTCGACCTATTCAAATTTATCATTATGCCTTTTGGTTTACGGCAAACCTTCCAGCATTACATTCACTTAGTCTTGTCCGGTTTAGACTGTTGTAGGGCCTATTTAGACTACATAATAGTTGTCTCCAAGGATGACGAAAAACACACTAGTCACATGCATGAAATTTTCTCCTGTTTACTTGACCATTGCTAAAAGCTAAATCCTGCAGATTGCACTCTTGGACAGACCACTAACTCATTCTTGAGTTGCCTAGTAATCCCTTTTGACATTCAGCCCTTACCGGAAAAAGCTAAAGTTATTGCCGATTTTCCCAAACTGTAGCCCAACTCCGAAACTTTCTTACAATGCTAAACTTTCATAGGAGACTCCTTTAAAAAGCTGCAGACACTCAGGCTCCCTTACATGAGTTTCTCAAAGACTCTAAAAATCATTAGGGGAGTGGTTGCTACACCACAAAAAAAGTTATTTTTCTGTTTAAGAATAACTTTTCACTACTGTGTTTTAAAGAGA